GGTGTATCTGTTGCATAAGAGGAGCAATCAGACCAAAGCTCTTTCCACATCTAAGATATTTGTAAGATCCTTCCTAAGCACTCTCTGATGACTTAGGAATTCATGTATATTTTTCTCTGAGAGTGTCACTTTTTCTCTCTTTTCTCCTAGGATCCTTCCCTACTGTCTTCCAGTCTATGTTCATTCTCATTGCCTTTACCTTCATTAAGGTGATGAAAATTGAAAAAAAAAAATTAATGGTTAAGAATCCAATCCAGGACCCAAAATTGCATTTAGTTGCTGTGATTTGGCAGGGTCCTCCAATATGTGAGAAACTTTCCATTTTACCTTTCATGAACTTGACCTTTTGTAACAAACCATTGGTTTGGTAGAATGTCCTTCAGCATGGGTTTGTATGTTGATTCTTTTTTAACTAGATTCAAATCATGCATTCCTGTAGGGATCCCACAAAAGCAGTGCTATGTCCTCAGGCCATGACATCAAGTCTCACATGACTGATTGTCTCATCCCTGATGATGTTACTTTGAGCACTTGGTTTAAATGTGATGTCCTCCAGATTTCTTAATTGTGTAGTTACGCTTCGTAATGTATGGGGCATATTTTGAGACTACTTAGATACTTAGGTTTATCAAAACGTTATTTGGTATCTACTGGTTCCCTTATGAAACCATTGTTTCCATAGTTTTGCTGGTGTCATTGAGTATAATTTGTATGTCATGTATTGATTTTATATCCTACTATCTTGGTGACCTGTTATTGTCTAAAATACTCTTTACATTCTTCTCTCCTGTATCACAACTTTTATATTCTTCATCTAAGTGCTAAGAAGAACGGTTATTATATGAAAGGATACACTTCTCTGAAGTCTAAATTCAGCGCAAATTACTACTCATATCCTGACATTCAGAACCGTTGTGCTACTTTACGTTGTCATCCCAAAATATGAATGTACATGGTGACAAGTTCTCACACATCTTCAGTTTGATTAGTGTTCTAGTCATTGTTATTTGGAATACATAAATGAATCTGAACAACCTGCTTTCCCAATACAAGGGATTTCTTTGTATTTGTTTTGAAAGTGAAAAACTGTAGAAGAGAATTTGTTCCTTTTAAAACTTTGTTCTTTTTGAAACTGCCTAGCTCTGTAATTACTTTCTTGATCCCTGTAACCATGACAGTGTCACAAAATATTCAGAATGCCTGATTGCAACAAGCTCCATGACCATTAATCCAGCCTTGTAACTGATGATCTCACCCTGTGTTATGGTTTAGGTCTGTGTGTCCCCCCAAAGCCTCATGCGGAAATGGGGCAGGCTGTTAGAGTTTGATTGTGGGTGTGAGAGCTGCACCCGCCCTGGAGTGGATAGTTTGCATATGTAAGGGAGAGGAAAGAGTGCTTGGGGGCATTCCTCCCCCATTCCGCACTGGTGTGGTGGTTGCTTAGCTGTGTTCTGTGCCAGTAGCTGCTGCCCTCTGCCACGTGCCACTCTTATAATCTGCCAAGTATGGATTGAACCCTCTACAAACTGTAAGCGAAATAAACCTTTCCTTCCTTAATTTTGGGCGTCAGGTGTTTTATCCCAGCCACGAGAAAAAAGTAACCAAGACACCCTGTTAGCTAATCAGAACTGCCAGGCTCTTCTCTGTTGCCTTTGTATCTCCTATTTGTGCAGCATATAAAAGCCCTAGACCACCAGAGATCAGGACCTGATATTTTGGGAGTGAGCCCAATCAGTGTCCATCAACATAAAATAAATCTGCCTCCAAATCCTGGGTGTCATTTCGGTGTTTCTGTTTGCTGTAGCAGTTTGAATGTTAGCAAAGTTGAACATCTGTCCTTTCTGTGTGTGTGTGTGTGTGTGTGTGTGTGTGTGTAAGACAACAGATTATCTGAGTCTTTTACCTGTTAGTTTTATTTTAGTTTTATTTACTTTTAATGTGAAAGGTTTATTTATATAACAGTGATATTAATTATTTATGTGATATGTATTTTGTATTTTTATCTACTTGACTGTCCATTTTTTTACCTTATATGTGTTATTTGCTGCCATGTAGATTTTGTTTTTAAATAATTTAATTTATTCATGGTTTTCTTTATATATTGTTAAAATGTATGGCACACTTTAAAACATCAAAAACAACTGATAGTATAACTTTCATAGCTTAATAATTTAAAAAAACTATATCATCTGTTATTTCTAGAGTAGCATTCACCAAACATGATTTAAAAGAAAGATTTTCTGGGGGACAAAAGTCTGAATTCATTTCCATGCTAGTTAGTGGTTCAGAGGAGGGAAAATGAAAAAGATTATTTTGGTGTGATTTTCTGACTTAGGATCTCAGCAGTGATATCTGTTGTTACTTAGATAGATAAGAGAATAAAAATGTAAGAAACAGACTGGTTCAATGAGTAGTGACCTCAGAAAACCTTGGCTAGGTAAATAGATCATCTCAAAGCCATCCATAAGGCTCAGCTTCAGTGACGTTATCATCATAATGCTGACGTCATCCAAGTCTAAGGAGATGGATAGTTCAGTTGCTACACTGTCTCAAAACAAAAACATGAACCAGATGACCTCCCCGTCATTCCAAGACCCAAGAACTGGGCTTCCACATACACCCAGGCAAGGACATCCTGGCCACTTCCCCATAACTAAGTCTATTGGAAAACCTGAACAAATGTCATACCGGGTAAGAGGGTGGTAGATTCCTGAAGGGTGATGTGGCCAGCTCACATCACTGTGCCTGTTTCAGAGTGTGGTTCCACCTGAGGATGACCTTCATCACACAGAACAGCTATTTGTAAACTATGACATCATGCTAATGCTAGTGGGAAAAAAATTAGAAGTTTAAGACCCATCCATATGCACAAAATTTTGTACTAGTTGTTAATGGGAAATTTGAAATATAAGATTCAAGTTGTGCTGTCAAAAGATTTACCAGAATCTCATGTTAAGATATGTCACATACATCATAACAGAACAAATGGGATTTGAATGATGTTGTCTCTGAGAGGAAAAGATGGAGGAATGAAGTGTGGAAGTAGAACGGACCATGTTCAAAGTTCAGCTAATAAACAAGCTGTATCGGGGAAAATGGAGAAGCTGGAGAACTTGCACAGGATGCTTTGCACAGAAGTTTGCTCTCAGTCGAAGGATAAAGGTGTGGATCATGAGCACAACCTGGAGCCCCAGATGAGACTTCCTTCTTGATGGTCAGTGGTAATTATTTCTATAGTAGAGAATGGTGAGGAGAAATAATTTTGGGATTCCAGCAAAGATTAGAATCAATGAGAAACTGTACAGATGGGAGAGAGTGCAACTTCAGGGAAGACCACACAGTTGTAGATATCTGATACCTTGTTAATAGGACCATGGACATCATTATTCTTGTGGCTATATCTCTGTATGTCTATGTATCTATATATGCATGTATATACATATAGATGCACAGATATTATCAGCTAAATATTATAATCTAGAATAACCAAAGTCTCATGAAAACATAGAATTCACTAGATCTTGTGTCTCCCTGCCCATTACGACCTAGTTATAGGTTTTAGTCACTGGGTATCTGCCTCATCCCATACTCAGGGAGATTCTTTTGGATACTTCCTGAAGAAAGAACTTCCTTCACATAATTAATTCTAGATTTAATTTGCTTTCATCTAGTTACTTCTTTTATTTGTTTTTTTTTTTCTTTTTATAATATGGAAGGGTTACCCCTTCCATATTATATCTCACATTGTCATTAGGATTTATCTTAAAGTGTTCAAATGGAAAACAAAATGTAAACAAAAAATTCAGACAAAACTCCTGTCCATGTAAAAATGAAGCAGAAACACTAAAAGTTCTTGTTGCAATTCAGTCTTTTTCTTTACAGCTGCTCTGCCTCCTCTCCTCAGAGATGTTCTCCATAGGGTCCCGCACCACATGAGTGTCCCAGACTTGAAACATTTCACGTCTCTTCTCCTCTTTGTTTGCTCATTCATGGAGTGCGCTCTCTTCTAATGTGCAAGACCCTGGAAAGCACATTTTTATTCTGCCACACAGTATGGCTCTTCTCTCGAGTATCTCCACAGAATTGTTCCTTTATGAAAATATGCAAAAGCTCTTAGCTGAAAAATGGTCATTTAAAAAGTCAGATACTGCTCTCCCGGAAAACCGCTGTGATCTAAAAACTAAAAATGCATTCATTCTTTTTTAATTGCAGATGTGCTGATAGTTCATGAGGGTCTCCTGTTACAGGCTGGGCACTGTTCTTCTATAATCCTGTTAATCCTCACAATACTTTGAGGACTAATTCCCACTGTTTCTTTTTTTTTTTTTCTCGTTTTTCTCCGGGTACCGGGAACCGAACTCACGACCTTGCGCTTGCCAAGCAGGCGCTTTTGCCGCTGAGCTAAATCCCCAGCCCCAATTCCCACTGTTTCTATTGTAATATTCATGGAATAGAATATGAAGTCTGGTTGATTTTCACAAGGTCCCACAGCTCAAACATGGCAGAACCAGGTTTTTCTGACTCCTAATCTGAGCTTTCACTGGAGTGGACAGACACACATGGTTACACACACACACACACACACACACACACACACACACATACTCAGCATGGGCTACACCAGGGATACTTAGAGGATTCTGTAATTTTTATGTCAAAGCAGACATAAAATCTGGTGAAATGCATGTTTTTATGTGACTTTGATTATTTTAGGTTGTGCTAAATATAGAGAGCTGGGATGTTTAGAGGCTTTTATGATTTCTATGTCAAAGCAGACCATCAAAGAAATCCAAGGAGAGGTTCTGGGAGGTGAAGCTACTATAAAAACAAGATTGGGAGGTCAAGCAATTCTAGGAGAAATAGGCATGGAGTATAGAATTTCCCTGACCCACACAGAGGGAGGAGCACCCAGTCATCACCAGTTATAGCATCACGTGGGTGGCTGGAACTGGGTCCTCACGTGTCTTCCTTCTGTCTCACATGTTGAGGTAGAGCCTGAGGCTAGGATAAAAGGGTCCAGGGACAAAGCATTTCCATCCACTCACCTCCTGAGGTATCCACGAACTCGAACTCTGAGCTCCTTGACTTCGGTAAGTGTCCACTGGGAATGGAAGCAGAGTTTCTTAAGGAGATTCTCAGACCAGAGCAGGAGAGGAGGCTGGGAAGCACCCTGAGGGCTGGAGCGAGAAGCAGACTGCTCTACTGTGAGAACAAAGGGAGGCTTGTGATTCCTTCCCAGGGCTTTGAGAACTGGCAGATCCTCAGTTGATTGGAACTCTTAGAGGGAGGGAGTGACAATAGCGGCTAATACCCTAAAAGAATTCCAGAGAGTTAGTTGAGCTTGAGATGCCACTGCAATATATAACTATGGACAGGAATTCTGAAAACAAGGAGGGGGTCCAAGGAGCTCTTATGGAAGCTGATGCACACACGGGTATGGGAAGGGGCCTGGGAATATATTTTAAGAGCTTCACAGTTGAAAGAACACAGGGAGTAAAATAATCTGTAGACCAAGCAAGAGGTGCTGTGTCTGGGAACATCAGGGGGTCCAGCTGTGAGTCAAGGATCTTCTGTACAGGCCTTTATTTATCCTCAGCTTCTGCCTTCACAGAGTGAGCAGGTCAGGAAATGGCTATGATCCCTTTTTATTTGGATTGCATATGTCTGGATGTAGAACTATTTAGAATGTTGACAGGATATTTTTTTGTATCAAGGAATTATTTCACTTCTAAATTAGTCTTTATACAATAATTTCAATGTTTAGACAACATAAATCTGTGCTTTGCACCTTATAATGATAGTTATTTTCTCTTTGGCAAATGATGATCTCCTTCTAGTAAGGATAACAGTGCTGGGGATTTGTTTTCTGTGACTGACACTAAAACTAAAGTATGTTTAGTAGAAATGAAGTAGAAAGGGCAAGAGTGGGCAGGGTGGCCTGTTTCCTGCATCTAACCTGAATTTACCTCTCCCTCAGCTCCTGAACCACTACCTACCACGATGTCCTGCCAGCAGAACCAGCAGCAGTGCCAGCCTCCTCCCAAGTGCACCCCCAAGTGCCCTCCCAAGTGTCCTACACCAAACTGCCCCCCAAAGTGTCCCCCTAAATGCCCCCCAGTCTCTTCCTGCTGCAGTGTCAGCTCTGGTGGGTGCTGTGGCTCCAGCTCTGGGGGCTGCCACAGCTCCGGGGGTGGTGGCTGCTGCCTGAGCCACCACAGGCCCCGCAGGTCCCACCGCCACAGACACCAGAGCTCTGGCTGCTGCAGCCAGCCCTCCGGGGGCTCCAGCTGCTGTGGCGGGGGCAGTGGCCAGCAGTCTGGAGGCTGCTGCTGAGGATGAGCCTTAATCTTGAAGAGCAACATTCAGGAAAGCAAACTACAGAATGTATCATCTTGTAGGTCTGCCTCAAAGACTGAGAAGTTCCAGGGAAGACAACTTGAGATTTGTTTAGCCTCCCTTGGTCTAAAAGCTCATATCTCCCCTGATTCCTATCAGCTGGCTTCGGACTCCAACTTGCATCTACCCTCCATGTTTCCTTGTTAAATATTCCAACTTCCTCCTTGTTTTACTTCTTACATTGTGAACCTGACTGAATAAAACAATAAAATAAGAAATATGCTTAATGCTTCTTTTAGAAGGTCCTTTTTCTTCTTGGGTGGCCATTACTAACCTCACAGATCATCTGCAAGAGGTGACCTTGGACCTCAAAGGACACAGGGGCACTTAGGCTTGAATTTGAATAAATGGGCACAGGAATAGGGGAGATAAATTTTCACAGCTCAGTTAGTCACATTATTGCCAAACTTGGGATTAGACCAGGGAGATGACATTGCACTGAGGAACTCTGGAAGACAAACAGCTTTATTATGCTAATGGGCTCCAGGACAAAGAGGTCCAAATTACCAGCCCGGTCTTGGAGTAAAACAGGTGCTTACATAGGTTTTTAGGAAGAAGTACAAAAGGCAGGTAACAGGGTCTTCTATAGTTGATTACATGTGTCTTGGTTACACGATGGCAGGAGAGCACAGCAGAGGAAAGATGCTGAGTTCATGGGAGCTGGGAAGCATACTAGGGCTAGAGAGCCAGAGAGGAAGGAGCAAGGCACCAAACATAAACTCCCAGGCCACACTTCCTTGATCTATTTAAACACAGTCAGAGGTGTGCCACACCAGTCCCTCAGGTGGCTACCAAAGTCAGTGTGACCATTCATGCTAACCTCTACAATTATTTTTTTAAATTCTTGATGAAAGCTATTCCAAGTGGGGTGAAAGCAGATCTCAGTGTACTTTTTACTTACATTGCCCTGATGGCAAAGATGTTGACCATTTTTCATAAAATTACTGGTAATTGATACATTTTCTTTTGAGAAGTATGTATTTGGTTCATTTTCCCATTTAATGATTAGATTACTTATGCTTTTGATCTTCAGTTTTTGGGGTTCATCATGTTAAGTGAAATAAGCAAACCTCAGAAAGGTGAATATGACATGTTTTCTCTCACATGTGAAATCATGAAGTGGCAAGGGGAGAGACAGAGACAGACAGAGACAGACAGACAGAGACAGAGAGAGAACGTGGAAGTAGAATGGAGACTATTAGAGAAGAGGAAGGGGATGGAAGGAGATGATCAAAATATGTTGTGTGCATGTATGAAAGTGTCACAATGGCCTCATTACTGTGAATAATTAATATATACTAATAAAAAAACAAGTAAAAATAATGTTTAAATCGTGCTGTAAAATTTGCCCTCTTGTTACCATTTCAACAAGTACTGTTTCTCTCTCTCCTAACTGCAGTACAGCTGGGTTTTTTTCCTGAACACACTTTGCATACCACGTCTCTGAACTTGCCCCTGTACTTCTGAAATGAAGTGGCTCTCTACCCAATAAATTATGTGCTTTTCAAGAATGATGTTTAAGTCTCAATAGAATTTTTATATCTTTCTTTTTAGTTTATGGGATATAATATATAGCTCTTTGAATCATGTCCTTGTGCCCTTAATGCTTACTCAATGGGACAGTCCTCTGGTTCTTTGATGCATACACAGAAAGGTCTAGTAGCTTTGCTAGTAATTAAAAATCACATCCCTAGTCTCAGTTCAAAAGTTGGAATATCTGATCTGAGAAATAACAGCAATGCCAAATTTGACTTAATGATGTTTTGTCAATGTCCCTGCTCCTATGGACTGATCAATCACAGCAGGGTGATGAAGCCTGGTTCTTCTACCTTTATTTTCTACCTGATAGTTGTGCTACTCCTATAGCTTTTTGAATCCTTTTTTGGCAGTTGAATAAAAATCAGGTGAGAGAAGCACAGTCTTGCATGCTGATACAAAATTTCTTCTGATATGGGGACAAGCTAGATAACAGAATCAGCTTTCTGATTCCTCTTCTTTCATTCCATTTCATGACTCTCCTCTATGAGATGTGAGTTATGCCTCTCCAGAGACATCACTCCAAACAGGGTCCTGGTTCCAAAATCTCTGAGACAAGGGCTAAAATGGCAGAGGCCACTTATTTTCTATGATGTGATCTATATCTGGTAAAGGGAAACATTCAATTGACCCGTTCTTGCAAAGGAAGCAGAAAATCAACTTTGTTTAGGAATAACCAGTGTACTTCCTGAGCAGTCAGGCCCTAGTTCTCTCTAGGGAGACACTACTTCTCAAATCAGGGAGACACTTGCAGGCTTTTCCCTGTGAAAAAATAAAGAGGCAGAATCCCAAGCTCATAGTCCTGGGAAATTCACATTCCTCCCTTTGTTCCCCATATCATGCAAGCCCCAGTTAATAAAGCACTTTAAGCCTATACCATTCACATAGTTAAACCCCAAGCCCAAAGCTTGTTGTAAGTAAAAAAAGTGAATTAATATAATTTATATAAGGGCTTAAAATATGAAAAAGTAGATGCTAGTTATCAATGGGGAAAAGATAGTTATTCAGTATCTGGAGTTTTGGAATTTGATTAACTAGAAAAAATCTAAACCCCCACTTAGCACCATTTGCCAAGATGAGCTCATAAGGTTTAAGTAGTTTTTGGCAAAATTAAGTCATAACTAAAGAAATACTCAGGGGCTGGGGATTTAGCTCAGCAGCACAGCACCTGCCTGGCAAGCATGAGGTCGTGAGTTTGATTCCTGGTACCAGAAGAAAAACAAACAAACAAACAAAGAAAACATAAAGAAATACTCAGAACAAAATATTTATCTTATCTCAAGATTGAGAAAAACATTCTGAATATAAAAAATTGAATCAATCACAAAGAAGACAGGTATGGACACATATATATAAAATTATATTTTACCAGACAAGAAGAGGAGAAAAAAGTTGCAAGATACAAAATTAAGTATAAAAATAAGCAGCATTTTAAACTTTAATAAAAAAAACTTGTTGAGAATGAAATAAGAAAGCAATCCAGTCACAGCAACATGAATGAAATAAAACAAAATACCCAGGAATGAATTTAAGCAAGAAAGTGAACTATATGTACAATTGTTATGGTTGATACATTGTGTCAACTTGGGGAATCTAGAGGTTTGGCTAAGAGACTCAGCAGTTTGCCTCTTGGGGTGAAAAGGACATGCCCTT